CATCCTGGCTGTGGATGTTGGGGTGTGATGGCACCGTGCGTGTTGCACGCGCAGGTTTGTAACGTCGGTGCCGTTCCCCACGGTGACAAGAACTGCTCGACGCCAGCGCTGCGTCACCCGCGCCGCTGTAGGGACCCTCCCCAAACCTGTCCTCTTCTCCCTGCCTCCTGTAACTGATTCTGTTGTCTCTTCTCTCTGCCACGAACAGATGAAATCGTCCGACATCGACCAGGAATTATTCACTGAAAGTTACTGCAAAGTGTGCAGCGCTCAGCTAATATCCGAGTCCCAGCGCGTGGCCCATTACGAGGTAGGATGCTCTTTGGTAACTCTGCCCCGCGGGTCGGTGCCGCCGCCGGCACCAGCTACCGCGTCCCAGCAAGTTGCCACACCGGCGCTTAAAGCTCCTCTCTGACAACTCAAGATTCAAGAGGCCGCTAGTACCGGTGGTGTTGTATGCTGTAAATGATGTCGCTGCGGCGTGGTCTGCTGCGTGTCTGTCTAAATTTGCAAAATCGGGCTGCAATTTGAAGGTGGCCGAACGCGAGTTTTCAAAGAGACGTGGTAAGCAAGGAGGGCACTCGGGAGTGCAGCAACGTGAACTCAAGTTTTTATATCAAATGTGCGAGGCTTTGCTGCCTGGGAATCGCCGGCTGGGCAGAGAAGAGAGCGGTGTTTGTGAAGGTGCTGAGGAGCCTCAAAGGTGGGCAAGCGATAAAGAATTAGAAGGGATATGTTATTAGAGACGTGTTAGAGCAGCCATTAACAGCGCTGCACATCTTCAGAACAAAATTAAATAAATCCCTATTAAACAAGGGGGGAAATTGCTGAGGGATGAGCTGCTGCGAAACCCTTCAAGAAGGGGAACCCCACCGCCTGCCCGTGTCCTGGCGCCCGCCCCCCGGGCACCGAGCGGGTCTGCAGCAGCGGGGCGTAAATCCTGGTGGCGGCGAGGGGCGGTCTTGGTGCTCGGCGACAGGAGAACAGGAATGTTCTCATTCCTGTTCCGATGAAGAGGGGGTGCGGGATCACTTTGTGCGGTGGGTGCGCACAAGGGATTAGAGCGCAGCCATGGCATTGGTATCGCGGGGAGCGGAGACCCGTCCTCCCCGGGTGACCCCGGCTCTGCGGTCGGTGCCGTGCGGGGAGGGGACGCGTGGTGGGGTCCGGTGTCTCCTGGAGGGCTCCAGGAGGAGGAGTGATGTGAGTGGGGAGCCTGGGGATGAGGGACTTGTGTGCCCGGGGGGGCTGCATGGCTTCGCTGCGCTTTGCCTTTGAACAGACCAAGGCTGTCAGTGTCTGCAGAATTTCAAGGTTTTTTCAAGAATTTCAATTGGAAGCTGCACTAAGAGGCCTGGAAGGTGAAGTTTCCCCAAACTTTTGCTCCCATTCGAGTGCTTAGCAGTGGATATGGGGGGGAGACGTTTGTCTCAGTGTGGCCAGTGGCGACACACGAGCAGCTTAGTCGATGTGCAGCATCCAAGGGGGCTGTGCCGCACTAATCAGTGATGTGAACCATAACGAACGTTCCCTGGTAAGGCGCTTCACACGTCTGCTGTGCAGAATTTCTTCAGACGCGCCCCGTAAAGGCTCCCCTGGCTGCCCGTGGTGTGCAGCAGAGATCCCTGGCAGCCCGGGGCTGCAGCTTCAGGGACGCCTTCCAGACCGTGATAACGGGCCGCGCGGACGCCAAGTTTTGTCTACAGGAGGCAGAAGCATTGCCGCAGGAGCAGCGGCTGGCGAGCCGTGGGGTGCTCAGCCAATCCCTCTTCCTCTGCGCCTGCAGTTGTAGGTATGAGCTGAATCATTAATTCGTAGCAGATGTTTTTGAAATGTGGAGAACAACACGGTTTTCTGTTGTGTATTTCTGGTGCGAGGTGTTGTGCTCATTTGTCATCCCCTGTGAAATCCCAGCAGACGCTGCAGACGTTCGGCGCAATAATGTCATTCCCTACCCTCGCCTGCCGGGTAGCGCAACGCAGAGCGAGCTGGGGGGGGGGGGGGGTGTCCCTGCAGCAGCCACAGCTCTCGACGGGGAGGCTCGGTGCTTTGGAGCATCTGCGCCGGTCACCGCTCTGGAGCGTAGCCCAAATTCTCCTCGTACCCCGGTCCCAAGGAACCCACGGACACAGCGAGAGGGCTGAAAATGCCCCGAGGTTTTATGGGGAGGGCGGTGCTGGGGACACCGTGCCCAGGAGGGGCTCTCGCTGGGCTCTCCTGGGTGCTCTCCCCTCTGCGGCCGACGGACGAAGCCTTCGGGCTGCGGGCGGCTCGGTGCAGCATCGAGCCTTGCGGGGGAGGTTCCCGGGTCCGTGTGCTTTGACTGCAAATGTGGACAGAAAACCACTCTGCAGTGCTCCCGGCTCCTTCCCCACGTGAGCCGGACGGGGTTTTGGGAGACCTGAGCAAATATTTGTAGTGAGTCACTTGTTAGGTGAACTTGGCCTCTTCTTGCAGTCCGACGTCAGACAAGCAGTATGTGATTTCCCCCTCTACATTAATTGTGGAAAATTAGTGGAGAATGATTTCTGCAAATAATTCTTGCTCTGACGCTGTTTCATGAGGCGCTTGGTCGGAGCCCCGCGCACGGGGAAGCCCGCTCCTCCCGCCAGGCGCCCGCTCTCGGGCTGCTTCTCCCCGGCCACGCGAGCAGGTCAAGTCTGTGGTCGGAATATTCGCTTCCATAACATCAGGATTTGCAGCGTGGCTGTTCCTGTACGGAACTCTGGTGTTGAAGGTGCCCAGGCTCCATCCTGCCCAACACCGCCAGCGCTTGCTGCAAGCCAGACACTTCTAACAGCAGGAGTGTAAAATCCACTGTATTTTCCTAATTAAAAAGTAGCCGGTCACAATTTTCACACTTTTTTTTTCTCCTTTCATTTACAAAGCCCTCTATGGTCAGAACTGATTCTTTTCATGGGAAAACATCAACTTCAGAGGATGAGATTTCCTGTAAATAAACTTTCATTTACTCTTCCCAAGTTGCTCTGTTCCAGCATTTTGACTGAAAACCCAAACGCTCTCAGCATCAAAGCACGCAGCAGAACCACGGGGGGAGCGGAGTTTGTGCACAGAGCAAAACGCTTTCAATTGACTTGAACTTTATGGGGAAAAGGGAAACACTGCAAAAGGGCAACCCCATCCCGGGGGGTGCGTGCCGCTGAGTCAAAGTAGTTCAGCGTTTCCACCCAGCTCGGTGCGCGCTGGTGGCGGGATTGCTGCGTGGGGAGACGTCTCCTGCAGCCGGGGTCCCCCCATGCTCCCCAGCACTCGTTTCCTTCATTTTCCTGCAGGAGGGAGCAGGCGA